CCCTGCCTGCAGAAAGCTCAAAGGTCTTGAAGCATTTGCTGATGAAGATCAAGGACTGCCTTTAATAGGGATTGCAACTCAATGTAGAACACACACACACACACACACACAATCACCCTCACCACTGGACCAGGAGGTAAGCATGATACATGAAGAAGACAAAAGATGGAAACAGAACGATTTCATCCTGCTTGGACCCCCAATCAATGGCCATGGACGCAGCAGTCAGGAGATCAAAGGATGTACCGCACGGGGCATGTGCGCCCTATACAACCTCTGCTAAGTGTGGAAGATCGGGATGTCGCTTTGAGGACTAAGAAGCCCTTGAGTCCGGCCGAGGTATTTCCAATCCCTCCACACTGGATAACGAACAAGGAAGACGTCCTACGAATGGCGCATTTGGATGATGGGGGTCGCTGAGAGTCAGGGTGTAGCCACGGGCAGCGCATTTGAGGGGTGAAGAAAGCGGAAAGGACGGTGACTGCCAGGAGCCAGAAAGAAAGACAACAAGCCGGCAAATCGGCCTTGGAAAGAAGGCCAGCCGCAAGGCTCTTTAGAGGTGAGGGTGGCGAGACTTTGTCTCTTAGACTTTGGACGTGGTCTCAGGATGGACCAGTCCCTGGAAAAGGACATCATGCTTGGTAAAGTAGAGGGACAGCGGAGAGGAAGACCCTCCCAGGGGTTCAAGCATAACAATGACCGTAAGGATAGTGCAGGGCCAGGCAGTGTTAGGCTCTGTTGTTCGTAGGGTCACCAAAAATCAGGACGGACTTGATGGGCCCTAACAACATTTGTAAACATCTATAAGCTCTTTCACCTTCACCCCCAAACCCTAAACCCACTGCCATTGAGTCGAGACAGAACAACCTAGCCTACCTTGCTCTTAGCCGTCCAATGGTTACCCCACAGCACTACCAGGGTTCCTGCCTAACAGGTAGAGTGAAGCCCACCTGGGCAATAAAGCTAAACAGCGGACAGGGACACATCTCTATTAACATCACTTGTGCTGCTGGATCCAGCTCTACCTGCAACCCTTCCCAGTAGCTACAGTAAAGCCTTATTTGCTGATGTAGATGTGAGTTCACTTTTAGAAAAAGGCCTTTCGAGTAAGTTTCACAGTCCAATTGTGTAATCCACATAAGCATCTCTTTCCCAGCCTTCCTGACACGCTACCGCGGTGGGAGGAATTGCATCGTGGAGGGTCAAGGGGATTTCAACTTTGGTTCTGCCATGCTGGCCACAAGAAGCCCAGGTGGTACAGTGGTTAAAGTGCGTGACTGCTAACCAAAAGGCTGGTGGTTGAAGCCCACCAGCTGCTCTGCAGTAGAACGACGGCGGCAGTCTGCGTTGTCAAGACTACAGCCTTGGAGACCTTCGGAGTCAGCACTGACTGGATGGCAATGGGTAGATTTTGGGGGGTAAGTTTGTGCTTGTCAGCTATAAAGGCCTTTCCCTTCTCTACCCCAACCTTCCCCTCCCCCAAAGCCTAGCGCCAGCTGGACCCTGTTCAGATAACTTGGTGTCATCAGACACTAACGCTGACAGAGTCAACAGTCAAATGCTTTCTATGCATCGTCTTACCTGATTCTCACGGTTGCCCTGGGAGGTAGGCACTATCAGTCCCCTTTCCAGAGGATGACACTGAGGGCCAGAGAGGCCCTACCTCCAGGAAGCAGCCCCTTCCAATGATATCTCCCTTGTGTCAGACCCTGTGCTAGAACCTCCTGGTGAGGTGGTGGAGGTTCTGGGTGGTAGGTACCATCGGGTCGGTTCTGACTCAGGCACAACCGAACGAACCGCTGCGCAGGCCTGTGCAGCCTCACAGTTATCGCTCTGTGCGAGCCCACTGTTGCAGCCCCCGTGTCAATCGGTCTCATCGGGGGTGTTCCTCTGTCCCCATGCCCCTCCAGTTCACCAAGCATGATGTCCAACTCTAGGCACTCACCAAGAGGCCTGGAGTGCCCCACCCCGGGGGGTGGCTGTTCCAGAGTCCCTGGGGCAGGGGTAGGGGGGGCACCCAGGGGGGCACCCACCCGTTTCCCTACAGCGATGAATGAGCAACACAGCACAGAAATGAACCCTGTGCCCCTTGAGCATGTTCTTCATCCACTGGCTCTGCGATCCACATTTGCCCAGGAACGTGGGCCGGTGTGCGCTGAGGGGGCCAGCATGGACAGCATTCTCGGCCAGGCCATCCCTGGCTGCCCTCAGCCCTGCCCAGGAGGTGCAGTCAACAGTCAGACAGAACCACTGCCCCAGGGTTCAGAACCACAGAAGAGACCAGGGAAGAACTTTTAAACAGCGTATGGCCTGGCTAAGTAAGATCCCAACCCCAGAAGCTAGAGGAGATTGGCACATCTGACTGAGATATATATGTGTGTGAACATATACTTAACATGACAAAACTTTACTCTCGAAAAACAAACTCGCTGCCCTTGAGTCCACACTGACTCCTAGCGACCTTCTAGGGCTGGGGAGAACTGGCCCTGTGGGTTTCTGATATGGTGGCTCTCCCTGGGAACAGAAAGCCTCATCTTTCTCCTGCAGAGCAGCTGCTGGCTTCCGACTGGTGGTTGGCAGCCCACAAGGTCAAACAGAGGGGCTGTGCAACAGAGGAAGGCCCTCAACAAGATGGACAGACACGTGGCTGCCTCGATGGGCTTGACCATAAGAACAATCGTGAGGACGGGGCGCAGGCCCCGGCACCTAACAACACACCTAAGCCGATTAGAGTAACTCCAGGAGCACATGAAGAGCTCCCACAAATTCCTAAGAAGCATGGGGATGCAGACACAGAAGAGGGTGCCAAACTCACTTGTAAAACTCCTACGGAGTAACCTTTCAGCTTGGCAAAGCTCAACACGTTGCTTCACACGCTGGGCTGGCCAAGGTGTGTGGACGCAGAGCAGCTCATTGATTGCTGCTGGAAATCTAAACCAGCAAAGCCAATGCCCATGCATGCCCTTGGGCTCACAAATTCCATGTCAGGGAGTTTGCCTAAGAGGTAGGCTTGCCCAATTGTGGTCAGCCCAAAGAAGCCGTGAGTGAGGTCAGATGGCCTGGTCTCCACCAGTTTTGGATTAAGCAAGGATGGATATTTGGAGAGGATTAGGAAGGGCATCTTGGGTGCCCAGGGTCTTAACGTTCTTTAAATTGTGTTCTAGTGGTGTAGTCAGCTTATAAGTCTACAGCAAACCATCGCCGTCGGCTTGATTCTGACTCACAGCGACCCTACAGGGTACAGTAGGGCTGCTCTCTAGGGTTCCCAAACCTATAGATCTTTACAGGAGCTGAAAACCTCATTTTCTCCTGAGTAGCAGACCAGTGTCGTCGAACCACTGACCTCCTGGTCAGCAGCCCATGCAGAACCCCCTTCTTCCACCAGGGCTCCTTTAGAAGTATAAAACCAAAAGCCAAGCTCACTGCCGCTGAGTGGCTTCCGTGTAGTAACAGGTAAAGGTATGCTTGACTGTTTTTGAGAGTTAGCTCTTAGAGAGAGTGTTTTAGGACCCAGCTGGCTGTGACAGCTCCTCCCCATCCTGAGAAGTCTGGCTGTTCAATCCACCAGGAGGTAGCCAAGGAGACCTCCACGCCCCCACCCTCCCACAATTGTAGGTCCAAGACTGACTGTTCAGGACGCAGAAAACAAAAAGGGGAGGGGAGTTCCATCCCAAAACATATATATGGATAACCACTCACTGCCCCTGAGTCAATTCTAACTCATAGTGATCCTACGGGACAGTCGATCTGCCCCCGTGCGTTTCTGAGACGAACTCTTTATGGGAGCAGAAAGCTCCATCTTCCTCCTGTGAAGCAGCTGGTGGTTTTGAACTACCAACCTTGCAGTTAGTAACCCAGTGCATAACCGCTACACCACCGGGACTCCTTTTAAGTGGCCACTAGGCACATGAAAAGATGCTCAAAAGCATTCACCATCGGGGAAATGAAAGTCAAAGCCATAAGGAGGTACCACTCCCCACCCGCTAGGCTGTAACTATGTATTGTAACTGTAACTGTAATTGTAACTGTATTGTAACAAGAATTTTAAGAAGACATACTAACTAGGACCTTGAAAGTTCTAGCAAGGAACACTCAGCCCCAGCTCCTGGCAAGCGTATAGCACTGCTGCTTTCGGTAACAGACTGGAAATTAACAGCAATCGGAGAGACAAAGTTACCGTTTGAAGCAGCATCTCCTCTCCCAGGCCTGGATGCAGGCCCCAGAACAAGGAAAGCCTAAGTCCTCTCTGGGTACAGCTGGAATGGGCGGAGCAGCAATACTCAGACTGGCCCCAGGTGGGAGCGGTTTAAATAGCCTGCAGCAGTGAATGGATACCTTAACTGTAATGAGTTTGGCAACAAGGCACTCTGATAACATGCTACAATGAGAGGAGGAGGAGGGAGGGGCGGTCTTAAAAAGTTACACTGGTCACAAACTACCACAACCTCTCTGATCCTGTGGATTTGAAGTGTCCAGAATCAGGACATCTGGAGAGAGACTGAGAGTAGATTAGCGGTTGCCTAGAGCTGTGTTGCCTGGAGGAGCCCTGGTGGCCCAGTGGTTATGTGCTGGGCTGCCCACCACAAGGTCAGCAGTTCAAAACCATCAGTCGGTAGAAGAAGGCTGACATGTCTACTCCTGTAGAGATGTACAATCCTGTAGGCTGACACTCCTGTAGAGAGATACGATCCTGTAGGCTGACACGTCTACTCCTGTAGCGATGTGGGGGGACCCACAGGAGCCGGTGGCAATGGGTGGGAGGGCTGGGAGTGGAGAGGATGGAGAAGTTAGTTGGGCGATGACAGCTTCTGGTGTGGGGTTTCTTTCTGGGAGATGAACCTGTCCTAAAATCGATTGTGGCCACAGATCAAGCACCACTGAGCAGCACCCTGTGTGCGGGGATGAACTGTACGTGGAGCGAGCTGTGTCTAGTCAAGCTAGAGGGTGGCTTGGTGGGGCAGGGGGGTGGGGCGAGAAGTCTGAGCCCGAGTCTAGGACTAGGATGCTGAGAACAGACACCAGCCAGTGTGCCTGTGCCTGGGCACCAACAGACTCAGGGAGGGGAGGGGCCAGGCAGGGGTGGGAGCCCTGCGCCTGTGGCCAGCTGGGGGCAGAGGCAGCAACTGTGAACGGCCTAACCAGCTTCGCCTAACCAGCTTCGGTTGCCGTAGTCAGCGGGTGGGTCAGGGGCTGCAGCACCACGTGTCTAGGTGCATCCTGTGTGCCCGCTCCCTGGTTTCCTTCACTGTACAAATGGGAAGGTGATGGGAAGCGCCTCCCTGGCCATTACGCAGCCACAGCCAGGGCACAGGGCTGTCGGGAAGAACTCGGAGCCCACAGCCAGGAGAGAGGTGGGAGGCCAGGAGGCCTCATGTGGGGACCTGTGTTTGGGACTTCAGGACTGGCCCTGCAGGGGCTCTGAATGTGGCCTCCCGGAGGCTAGGGACCCCCCTTTCTCAGACACAAAGACAAAAACGTTAGGAGGCAATGATGATAGTCCCTTCTCCTCCAGGTCCCACCAGTCCCTTCCCTAGAAGGGACAACAGCGAGGCCAGGCAGGCCAGCCTGTCAGCATGCCAGGAGGTCGAGGTTTGGCCCCAGAGGACCTTTAGGGGACAGGCAGGATCTGGCCTGGCAGAATCTGCAGCTGAGAAGCCAGTAAAGACAAGAACTCAGGGGATTGACTCAAAAGCGCACTACTATCGATCAGTACCGACATCTAGTCATTACCACTCTACAGAACTGCCCCAGGACTTTCTGAGATTGTAACCCTTCATGGGAGTAGAAAGCCCCATGTTTCTCTCTTGGAGTGGCTGGTGGTTTTGAACTGCTGACCTTTTGGATGACAGCCCAATTCATAACCACTATGCCACCAGGTTTCTGGGGGAATTGGACATGTTCGCTAAGCGGGTTGGGTAAGGCAACATGGCTCAAGCATCCTGGGGGTGTCCCAGGAGGGGTGTCTTAGGTGTCTGCTAGGTGTCTTAGGTCTGGGCCAATGCTAGCCTAAGGTGACCTGCTCAACTGGAGACTGATGCCTCCTCTACCGGACGCAGCCCAGGGGGCACAGGGTTGGCAAAGAGAGAAAGAAGAAGGTGTATGCAAAACAAAAGGTGCGTCTTGCTCTAGGAGACACTGCACCTGCATGTTCAGGTTGGCATGAAGCGCGTGAAGGCGGGATTCCAGCTCCGACTCTCACCTGGACACTCGCTTGTGCCGGAAAGCTGAGCACAGCCTTCCCCGGTGGCAGTGGCAGCAGCTGGGCTGCTGTAATCACACAGCTGGGCTCCAGTAACCCCTGTCTCTCTGGCTGAGCCACAGCTGCTCTTGCAAAGGAGAGACCTGAGGTTGAGTGGGGAGCTCCTGGGGTCACAGGGGCAGCCACATCCTTGCCAGGCCAGCTGTGGCCAATGTTCTGTCCTGCTGGTGACAGAGCTCTAGG